ATTTATGTGAGAGAGGTGGTAGCACGGCATGGAGTGCCGACCTCGATAGTGTCAGATTGATATGTGCACTTTACTTACAGGTTCTGGAAGAAGTTTCATGAGGAGTTAGGTACCCGGTTGCATTTCAGTACCGCATACCACCAGCAAACAGATGCGTAGAGTGATCAGACGATTCAGACGCTCGAGGATATGCTACATGCATGTGTCATGGACTTTGGAGGAAGTTGGGACACCTATTTTCCCTTGGCTGAGTTTTCTTACAACAAAAGCCACAATTCCAGTATTTGTATGCCTCCTTCGAGCTTCTATATGGGAGGAGGTGTCAGACTCCCATCTGTTGGGGAGAGGTAGGGCAACGAGTGATGGGTGGCACTGAGATAGTGCTAAAGACAAATGAGTAGATTCAACAGGTCAGACAGAGGTTACTGACAGCCCAGAGTCGCCAGAAGAGCTACGCAGATTGGAGACGATCCGAGCTAGAGTTCCAGGTTGGAGGTTTTGTCCTCCTAAAGGTATCCCCATGGAAAGGGGTGATCCGATTCAGGAAATGGGGAAAGTTAGGGCCCCGGTACATTGGTCCTTTCAAATTGATCACCATAGTGAGTAAGGTAACTTACCCGTAGGAGCTACCTATAGAGTTTATTCAGATTCATAATACTTTCCACGTGTCTCAGTTGAGGAAGTGTGTAGCCGATGAGACGGCGGTGGTACCACTAGAGGACATTCAGGTGGATGCGAGCCTAAATTATATTGATAGGCCAATAGTGAGCTTGGATCGGAAAGTAAAGGTTCTGAGGAACAAAGAGGTGCCCCTGGTTCAGGTCCAGTGGCAACATCCGAAGGGATCCAAGTAGACTTGGGAGTCGGAGTCCAAGATGCGCGAGTAGTATCCAGAGTTATTTCTGGAGCATGACTTCGAGGGTGAAGTATGATTCTAGTGGGGGGGAGAATTTTAACATCCTGAGACCAAGTATACTTTATAAACCCTTGTTCTTTTGGTGATTATCAATTTTGGCCCTTATATGAGAAAAAGGTGGTAAATAAGTATGCGGGGTACGCTCAGCGTACTCATGTGCCTGTTTTTGACGTGGAAGCCACCTAGTACACTGGACATACCAGAGGGTACACTGGGCGTACTAGGCCTAGAGTGAAAACCCTAATTTAGGGTGTGTCCCTATTTAAAGGACATGATCGCCTCATTTTTGGGCACCGTTCCCAAACATCAACCCTCTCAAACCCTAATTTCTTGTCACTTGAGCTTGTGTGTCCATTTGTGAGTTATTAAGTGTTCTTGTGTTTCTTTGGAGTGAAGAATGAGCTTTGAAGAGGAAGGAGTGGGAGTCCATGCTTTGGATCTGAGCTTATCTGGGGTTGTAGCTTCAGTTAGAGGTATAAAGCTTAAGGATTTTTCACCCTTTTGTTTTGTGCATCATTTTAGTTCATTTTAGGGATTTGGTCCCAAAGTTGGATTCTTTATGAGATATTGAGCTCCATAGTTTATTATCAGCTCCTTTGAGTGTCTTTAGTGGTGTAGAGTCATTAAAATCAAGACTTAGACGTTTAAACCAATCCATGCATGAGATATGAGCATTCTTGAGAATAGAGGGTGAGAATTTTGGTATTTGTAACTTTATCAACCATGCAAAGGCTTAAAGTCACAGACTTTATGAAGTATGGCACTTTAGGGAGTCCATATCTGATATTTGAGCTAAGATCTTAACGGATTAAGACCAAGTGAATAGAAAGACCAAAACTGGGGCGTACGCTAAGCGTAATCCCAGTACGTACAGCGTAGGGTTGAGAATCCCCGATGCATGCATGGCGAAGGAGTATGCCTAGCATAGAGGGCCTGTACGTGCAGCATATGCGTTGCCGTTGACTTTTAGTTGACTAGTCACTTTGTGGACTATTAAAGCCATGGAAGGGTAAAATGGTCTTTTATCCTTCTGTGAGTTTATAGAAGGGTTAGTCTAGCTTCTTTGAGATCTGTTATTAATTAGAGATAATTATCGTATGTGTTAGGCGGAGGTTGGACCGATGATTTGAGTTGGAGGTTATCCGATTTCTTACGAGGTGAGTTTTCTCACTATACTTTACCTAGAGTGGTAATTCTTTGTGTGGCTGGAGGGTCCTATGTGGTATATTGAGAATTGTGATATCCTACATTATTTCTTTGTGATTTGTGTTGTGTATTATTCTGAGCTTACTGAGTTAGGACCAAAGGGTCCACCCGAGTTGTGGGACCGGAGGGTCCCACTAAGACACATTGACCGGAGGGTCTTATTCGAGCATAGCCACTAGAGGCTAATGAGATATGTGTGGTATTTTGGGGAACCCACTAAGCTTCGTGCTTACTGTGTTATGTGTTATGTGTTTCAGGTACCTCTCAGCATCACGGGAAAGCATCGGCTTGATTGTACATACACACGAGTTGGAGATATATTTTTGGTGAGTCCTGGATTGTGTTATAAATAATTTTTGAACGTGTGTTTTGATAACTTGATATTAATGGGATTTTTGTGATTGTGCTAATGAGGCTTATGTGATTTTAAAATGAAAATTTTGTTTGAAAATTTACGGTGTTACAAATTTATTATGTGATTAATAAATTAACATGAGATCAATTGTTAAAGTAATTGATTTTTAAGTTTAGATGATTAATAAATTATTGAGAAATCAATTAGAATTAATTAATTATTAATCAAAATTAATCTGGGATTAATTTGGGATTAATTCTAATTAATTAAAGGTGCAAGGGATGAATTGAAATTATTCAGTAGTGAACAAAAGAAGCAATTATAGAACCATCCAAGGGTGGACGGTTAGGGTTTCCAGAAGCCTCCTGGATGTTAATAAGGAAAGGATTTTAATTGAAATTAACTCCATTATTTAACTTGCTTTGTCCCTAAGTTACCTAAACTATAAATAGTATCCATCATGCAGTAATTTTGTGGCTACTCTTTCTTAGAAGCTTATGAACGAAATTTTACTCTCTCCTCCTCTCTCCCCAAGTGTCTTCTAGTTCTAGAGTTTAGGTGTGAGCCATTAGAGGCATCATCCTTTTGGTGCTAGCTTTTCAAGCTCTTCAACTGAGTGATTGAAGTAACTTTTATCTATAACAAATTTGAGGTATGTATCTTTCGTTTTTGATTTTAGAAATCACTAGGATGCATATTATATTTTGTTATTCAAAGTATGTTGCCTTAATGTGAAGACATAGATCCTTTTAGGTTGCATGTCCCCTTCTTAATTGTTAAGTATTTTTCAGTATTATGTATATTATTGTACCCTAATAAACCCATCCGGAAGTTACGCTGTAAAAAAGATAGACACTAAGTCAGGATCATTATCGAGGAGGCCCCGTAATGCTCTTTGATGCCTAAGTTAGAATCAGAAATGATCATTACTTAATGTTGATATATAAAGAAAAAGAAAGGTTGAAAAGAATGTTTTTTACCTGCCTTTGCCGATGTGTTTCAATATAAATGATGGACCCTTGGTTGTTGGTGTTATTCGGGTGGTAATATTGCCTTGCGGTATTAAGAATAGAACCTTTAATAAACGAATGTTGCTTTTATGTGTATTTCCCATGATGTCGTAGGAGCAGTTCTAAAGTATTATTTAATTAAGGTGTTGCTAGTTCCCGGTAAGGCCCTTTTAATTTGTATCGCACGACTGTTGTGTTTGGGCTAATTGTCATACACCATTAGCCTTTAGTTCTTAATGTATAAATGTAAGTTTTAAGTTGAGAATATGGTTGTGAATATATAATTCTGTATATTAAACTATGAATTGTTTATTAAACCATGAATTTATTATATTACTTCTAAAATATTATATGAAAAAAGCATTACACATAGATCTGATTTTCTCTAATTTTGAATAAAATATGTAAAATTTAAATTGTGAATATTGTGTAAATTAAACATTGAAAGAAACATTAGTCTTCATATCAGAAAGTATAAATGTAGGTTTTAAGTAGGGAATTTGGCTGAAAATGTATATTTTTTGTATTAAACTCTGATTTTTGTATTTAAGTTGTGAATTTTATGTATTAAACTGTGAATTGATTGTATTCAGCTGGAAATTGATTGTATTTAGAAGTCACACTTCCCACATATTTGTTGTAAGTTTTATGGTACAACACACCGCTGGTTTTGTGTAGTTGGTTGTCAGCCTTCTCTCACACGTTTAGAACAGCTCCCTTCACTATAAGTCATTTTCTCATTTTTCTTTTGACTCTTTCAATGAATCTCGAGATTACAGGCTTCACACATGTAGTTTTACGATTAACAAATGTTGTAAAAGCTGATTTTTGTAGTTGACCGATCTAGAGATTGGTTCCCTTTTCAAATCGTTCAATCGTCAGGTCAACCCGAACATAGTAAAATCATGGACACATAAACATAGATACTAATGAATGTAAAAATTACAATCCAACATACACACTATATATAATGACACAGTAATGTAACTCACCTAGGTACCTTAGAAAAATAGAAAAGTCAAAGACAAAAGTCAATTTTTGGAGAAAACAATTTTAGACAAGTTGGTCGTTAGCTGACACTCGATTTAGAGAAATCGAACACATACATGGTACAATGGCCGTCAAACACTCGGAAGATGTTCAATTTCAGAAGATCTGACAATTAATTTGAAGATGTCCACTTTTAATTTGAGAATATCAACGTTTGAATGCTCAAATGGGAAGAAGATCGAGAAATAACCTAATGACTGATCGATATTCAATCTTTGTTGGAATGAAATTGTGTTAACGGACTAAATGAAATCCAAGTCTAATTCACAGATTCATAGTTCATACGGTCTTTTGTCAATTTTATGAACCGGTTCAACTCAATTTTTGGAGAAACATCCAATTCGATCTAGTCTAGAAATCGGCGTAGAACCAGCTGTTCTCCTGTTCTCTGCTCGGCCAGTCGACTCAAACCGATTTTTAAAACATTACTATTAACACAATATATGTGAAACCATCTTGATTTTTATAGCCAACAATATGGATATTTATAGCGAGCAATATCGATGTTGCTCACTATTAACAAAGCCTTTAAGATGCTAAACAGAGCGAAGTAGGTATGAGCAAAATGACCGAACCGCCCAGAATCGGCCCGACCAGGACCCGACCCGGGAACCAGCTTTGGCCAAAATCCAGAACCAAACCGGCCCGGCAGTTCTACCGGTTCCAGTTCCGGGTCCGGTTTTTGCCGGGTTTTCGATTTTGGAACCGGTCTTCGAGAAATAGCAACGTATTTTGGGGTTACGGTTTCGCTTTATGCCCGGTTATTGAATGTGATTATAATCTCGAAGATCAATAACATAAATGCAAAACTGTTATGTTTTTTATATACATATACATTGAGTATATACATATACATATTATTGTATATTGTATTTTGTTTGTTTTTGTTAAGTATCCAAATCATACGGTTCTAATATGTGGATTAAAATCTTGCAAATTTGAAACCTCGAAAATTGTGTTTTTGATGATATTGGTGTATTTAGGATATGATATTTATAAGCAGTGCATTATACGGAGGCATGAGCAAAAGTTTACTTTTTAACGATCTAAACGTGTTCGAATGTATTGGTTACTGTTTATTTTCTTGATTCTAAATGATCTAATCATCTAAACGTGATATTGGTACTACTTTAACGAATGTAATATTGAGATAAAGTTAGTATGGCTTATTTTATGATTCTTAGTGTATGTGTTATTTCGTTTATGGAAAAACACACTAGTGTTTCTCGTCCTGCAAACAATATTTGTATGCTCCGAAAGAGAAGAAAATATTCAAGGATTGAAACTTTTTATTCATCTGTCAATTAAAATAGATGTAAACTGTTTCTCGGTGGGTTTTTTGTTTTACAACCACTTTTTTTTACGTCCAAATTAGAACTCCAAAGTCCAAACCACAAAAAGCAAAGTCCAAACCACAAAAAGCTACGGGTTTTTTTTTTAAAGTCCAAATCACTTTTTCGGCCGGTTCCAACGACCGGTTTTTACCGGGTCCCGGTTCCAAAAATTGATGAAATTTTAGTATCGATCCCGACTCGACCGGTTCCATCGGGTGCCGGTTCCGGTACCGGTTCCCGGACCGGTTCCCCGGTTCATATGCTCACCCCTAGAGCAAAGGCAACACCTCAATTCTCTCGCAACCTTCAAACCATCTAAAAATCATTATAATAAATGAGGTTGTATCAATTCATCCTTCAATAAGTCCTAACATAAACAAAGTGCATTAAATTCATTGTGAACTAAGATTACATTCTCTAACAAACCATATCGATTTCGAAACATTTTTCCGGTGACTTCTCAAAAGATTTACTATCAAAACCACCACAATTCCAAATTCTCAACGACACCTAATTCTATACTAATAAGCTTAAAATCACATATCACAAAATTAAACATTAATTTCTTCATAATCAACCACAACCTCCTCCACATCGACTTAATCCCCCCAAAATTACTCAAGCGTGAAATGGCATTGATGAAAACCTGCAAAAATAACCCAAATTTAAACACCATCTTTAGCTTCATTTTTAAGTCAAACTTTTTCATTTTTAATCTTCACAAGCATCCAAACTGATTAGAATATAGAGAAGATAACGAAAACCCAGATGATATTCTAATAGGACTTCAGTATTGAAAAGTTATTTGAGTTGAAAAACTACAAAGATTCATCTGAATTTTGTATTAGAAAAGTAAGATCTTTGAATCTTTGAATCTTTGAATCTTTGAATCTTTGAATCGGAAAATTGCTTACTTGGGTCAGAATCGATGAGCATAGCAGTCCCTCCAAAGCCACATGTTCCACCATTCTTCTTGTTTTTCTGCCAATAACTGTTAAAAGCATAAGAAGCATGAGCAACAATGGAGTCCGGAAAATAACAGCTTCCGGTGGGACTAATCGGGTCACAATCGGCGCCGCCTTCTCCACAGGCGTAATCCATAGCTTCCTGCAACTTCTCCGACGGCACACTCGGTTTCGCAACGCACCACACTCCTTCATGCGAAAGTGGCGGGGCTGCTATCGCACCACCGTCGCCCATCGGTGGTGGAGCAGCCATTGCACCTCGACCTCTGCGGCCGTGATGAGGTGTAGGATAGGGATTGCAGGGCGGTAGATCATATCCATAATGCGGTGGTGGGCTGTTAGGTGTACCCGTCATCGGAGGTTGCATCTCCGGCGCAAAAGGTAGAGACAGCGGCGGCGGTGAAGTGACCCCGATGAGCGGTGGGAGAGGGGTCGTGGCGGCGTCGGAGGGAACAGAGTAACCCACCTCCGATGCGAGTTTTCTTGACCTGGGTTTCTCTTGTTTCGTCTCAAAAGATATCACATTCACTGTTTTCGACCGGAAAACACCCAAATCCGCCATGGATTTCAAGTTCGAACTCAAAATTTCAACATTTTCATCCGAAAAATCATGTGTTTTCATAGTGTAGGTCGAATTTATCTCTTCCAGTAACTTAAAAACAGGTTTAAGGTACGATTTGAGTAAACATTTTGAGGAAATCAAAACAGAAACTCTAATTTTCCTCTCTAAGCCCCATCTAACAAGAGAATGATAAACGTTCTCCATTGCAACAAGTGTTAACCTCGAAATTTCTTCTTGGTCTTCAAAGCTTTTGTCACCACACAGAAGCCTATTAGAAACAACAATGGCGGTTACATTTGTAGAAGGGTAACGAGATAAAACATGAGTCCTAAGCCACGTTTCCGCCATTAAAATGCTGGTTGACACCTCGTTGAGCTTCCTTTCATCCAAGAATACTCCCATTGCATGTGATGTCGACTGTAATTCCTCTTGTACTGAACCATGGTTATTGAGACTTGAGATTTGTAGCAGTTCTTGACCTGCAACTGATAGAAACACAAATCTGAGCAAGAAGAAGAAGAAGAAGGAAGTATGGAGTTTTGATTGAGCTTACCAGAAACATAGAGGAAGAAAAGAGGAGCCAAGAGACCCGCCATTTTCAACATTGTGAAAGAATCGGAGAGAAAAGTAGTGAAGTGAAACAAGAAATAAAGGTCTTGTATCTGATGGGTCAGAGTGTTGGTAATGCCCTGTAAAGTTTTTGGGAAATGGGAAATTGATACGGATTTTTTTTCTGAAAATGTGAAGACTTCAAACGGTAACTTTATGTTCTACAAAATTATTGGTTTACAAATGTTACATGTTGAAATGAGTAGGGTTAGTGTGTTTATTGCACAATACTATTATTTTAGTTAATAGCTAGAATGGGTTGTATCGAATCAATAGTAGTTATAATGGGTCGTGTTGAATCGATAAAACCACACCTGTATGTACGTAAAGAATGGGTTCAATCCTAGATGGTTTGTTCTTTGAAAAAAATTCTTTATTCTTTTGTTTGCAGATTTTTTTTAGCATCTTCTGTTTGTGTCATGCAGATATTAGGTTTTGCAGACTGTTCGTTTTTTTGAAGACCGTAGACGCGTCATCTTCTTGATACAGATGTGAATGAGTTTTCAAACATCTTGAAACATTTCTAGCCTAAAAAAACAAATATCTTAGGTTTGTTTCTTTTTAAACTTAGATTTATTCCAATTTTATCTATAATAAACAATTTAGAAAAAAAAAATTACAATACTTAAAAGAAAAATGTTCAACGACACAATTATGATTTTTGTTTCTCTCCTCTCGTTGGTTTGAGGAGCGGAGGTTTCGCAATTGGGCATGCCGCTTTGAAAGTCGTTGCGTGCAAAGTGGAAAAGCACGAGAATATCAACATGTGTTTGTTTTCCTTTTGCATTGGTTTTCTCGCACCCCAGGCGGTGAAGCTTCTTCATAGAGTCCAACGGGTCATGCATTCTAATGTCATATCTCCTAGATCCACAAATGATGTTTTCAAAAGAATTGATTTTGCCATCCAGAAAGAGCTAGCGGCGCAACTTGTTGTCCGTTTTCCTTCAATCGATATGTATTGAACTGACAATTAGTTAATATAATTTATTGTTTATATAGATATGAAAAAAAATCATAATATTATCTTATATTTTTTGTACCAAATTTTATAATGCACTATTTAATTCAATATCATTTATTTCTTGGAATAAATATTTATGGTCAGTTTTTAATTGATTTAACTGAAAATGTAAAATAAAAATTTTGAAAATTTCATTTAAAATCAAAGTTTCTTTCCAACCATTTTACGCATTAAATTCTTTTATGCTTAATTACAATGTTTAGGTATATCTTTCCGATTAAAGTTTGTTCGTCTTTATCAAATATATACGTTAATTCATACCATTTTATTTTCCCTTTTTTATACAATAATACATAAAAATCGATCTGTATTTGTTAGTTATCTATAATAAAGTCATAAAGTTATTGAAAAACTCTTTTAAGTTCTAAAAAATCGGTTTAATTAGATTTTTATTTATTCTAGCAGTCTGCAAATGTTAAAAAACAAACAGTCTTTTTCTTTCAGACTCTAGATATTTGGTTCATCTTTTCTACTATAGAGGTATGCAAATGTTGATGGGTTTTAGCCATAAGAACTTTCCTATGTGCGCATGCAAAACCCTAATGCTTGGATCTAGGCTTTCTAATTAAACATGCTTTGAATCCAAGACTTCTAATGGCTAATTAGGTTAAATAACAACATTGAAATAGATCTAGAATCATACCTTTGGATTCCTTGTTGATCTTGTTGTCTTGGAGCTTCTAGAGTCACAAATGTCACTCCTCTAATGGCTTACAAACACCAATAGCAAGCAAGATGATTTAGGAGAGAGGAGAGGGGAGGAATTCGGCCAGAGTATCTCTACTTTAGATGGTGTGTTGTGATTACTCAAATTCCCTCACCCCTAGGGCCTATTTATACTTGTAGACTCCTTAAGGATTACAGCTTTAACCCTAATTGGATAACTTAGACTTTAAGTTGATCCATATCCTTTCCTTGATAACCCTATGGACGATTTTGGCTTATCCAAGCCCTAGAAATCGTCCATCCTATCATGGATAAGGATTTATAGTCTAAAGTGTAACTATCAAACAATTGACAGTTTATACCCTCTTATTTAATTAATCTCTTTAAGTCACCAAATTAATTCCAATTAATCTATGACTTATATTAATCAAATAAACATATATTATTCCTTATAATATTTACTCTCTTTTAACAAATCATCCATCAAGTTGCTATGGTGAAGGCAACCCAAAATGACCATGCACAACCGGATCAAATACTTGCCTAATATAGTTGCAGCCTTAGACACTATTCCAACAGTCTCCCACTTGGATAAGTCTAGTAACTATACAAGTACAATTCGGTTTGCAATCGTAGCTCTCAAAGACGCTATCAAACTCTGATCTAATCAATCTTGTCCTTTAGATAAGGGATTGTACAGTCCTCTGTTAGATATCATGCTGACAATCCTATGGAATGGTTAGTCTAGCATTTGATTTCTCGATCTCCGATTTATTCGACATAGAACTTAATCAAACACATCAATTCAGTTCTGACCGGGCCCGGCACATAAGTCAAATCAAATCATCGAGTGGCCAAGATATCTCTTCTACCCTCTTAGGATAAAATTTACAGATAAACTTCGACTTATATGCATTTACTTATTCATTAACCAACTATACACAACAATGCGTTTTATAACACCAAGTTACTGATGCGTTTTCGCATTATCAATGCACAATCAATTAACAAATAATAAATCATATAACTAGGTTTTAAGACTATATGATATTATCGTCTTGCGATCACCTTTTATATCGTATTCCATAAAGTGATTCCAGCAAGCGCGGGTTTGTTCCAATGCTCAAAACCAGTTCATAAGCACTCATGAACGTTGCAGCAACCCTTGCTATGTCTAACACCATTTAGACAATCTGCACACCAATTCATGACAATCTTCATTCATATCTACTTCCAACATATGAACGATTGTGGACAATTCGAATAATTCGATTATTCCTAATAAACTCAATTATTCTGGAAGTCAAAACATGCAAAGTGAAACAATAGTTAAACAAATTAACATATGACAGTAACTTTACTTATAAATAAAACTCCTTTATTTAATCATCAAATGTTAATTATATTTATCTATTATACGTTTCTAAATACTATCTAATCTATACTAATATCATCCTTCAGCCCAATACTCCTAGCATGCTGCAAGTGCTTAACCCTACTCAGTCCCTTCGTAAGCGGATCTGCTGGGTTATCTTCTGATGATATCCTCTTAACTATGAGTTGTCCTTCTTCTACACGATGTCTAATGAAGTGATATTTTCTGTCGATATGTCGAGATCTACCATGATCCCTCGGTTCCTTTGTCAAGGCAACCGCACCTTCGTTATCACAGAAAATCTCCATGGGCTCCTTTATGGCCGGTACAACTCCAAGATCACCAATGAAGTTCTTTAGCCATATCGCCTCCTTCGACGCTTCGCTCGCTGCGATGTACTCTGATTCGCACGTTGAATCAGCTACGGTTTCTTGCTTGGAACTCTTCCAAGTTACTGCTCCTCCGTTTAGGGTAAAGACCCAGCCCGACTGCGAACGGTAGTTGTCCCTATCGGTCTGAAAACTGGCATCACTATACCCTCGCACCTTCAAGTCATCACTCCCTCCAAGGACTAAGAACCATTCTTTCGTCCTCCAAAGGTACTTAAGGATGTTCTTCACCGCAATCCAATGTGCTTTGCCAGGGTTCCCTTGATATCTGCTAACCATGCTCAAAGCAAAGGCTACATCAGGGCGAGTACAAGTCATAGCGTACATGATTGAGCCAACTGCGGAAGCATATGGTATTCGGCTCATTTCAGCTATTTCAGCTTCGGTACTCGGACTTTGAGTCTTACTTAACTTAGCATTTCCTTGTATCGGTAGTTCTCCCTTCTTTGAGTTTTCCATACTAAAATGTTTTAGTACCTTCTCTAAGTAAGTATTCTGACTAAGTCCAATTAGTCTCTTACTTCTTTCTCTTACTATCCTTATTCCCAAAATGTAAGAAGCCTCTTCGAGGTCCTTCATAGCGAAACACTTCCCGAGCCAGGACTTGACTTCCTGCAGAGTCGGGATGTCATTTCCTATGAGTAATATGTCATCGACATATAGAACGAGGAAGCTTACTATACTCCCACTGGCTTTGACATATACACAAGATTCTTCTTCGCTTCCTTCAGGTATGTTTACAATTGAATTACATTTGGCTTCCACTTATGATAAATGGATGCTTTACATAGGATGTGGAACCCATATTTGTTATGATGTGCAGGGACCAAGATAAAGTTGGAAGTTAAGTCGTGGAGAGCTTGACTTGATCATGGGGAAGAAGGACAGAGTGGTTGTTACCAATATTCAAGATTACGAGCTTTCATTAATTACCTTCCAGTTTTCCAGTTTTTTAAAAGATTGTTGATATTCGCCTTACATGGAAAGAAACATTATTTCATTTTATGCATTGTGGCTGGATGGTTTTACTTTTGGATTTGATAATAATGATGCTTCTATTTTGGTTTACAAAGATAATGCTCTTTATTTTAAAGCAAGCCCTTGTAAAGTCATATATGAATATGAGATTGGTGTAAGTAGAAACAATAACTTAATCTTAAATGTTTCTCATCTACTTTGGATAAATCATGTCTATGGCAATGTCGTCTTGGCCATATAAATAAGAAGAGAAATGCCAAGATCCAATCAGATGGAATCTTGGAACCATTTAACGTAGAGTTTAATGGGGATTGTGAATATTGTTTACTTGGGAAGATGAAAAAGTCTCCCTTCACAGGTAATTATGAGAGAGGAACATATATGTTGGACGTCATCCATTCGGATGTATGTGGTCTGTTCAGATTTATCACTAAACTTGGTGAAAGATAATTTTTCACATTTACTGATGATTTTAATAGATATGGATATGTTTACTTGATTAAACATAAGTTTGAGATATTTGATGTATCCAAGAAATTCCAAAGTGAAGTTGAGAACCAACTGGGCAAGAAAATCAAGACACTTCATTCTGATAGGGACATAGAGTATCTTAGTGATGACTTCTTTGATCATATTATAAGTTGTAGGATAGTCTCACAGCTAGCTCCACCAAGAACACCACAACATAATGGTGTTGTATGAAGGGAGAAATCAAACCTTGCTTGACATGGTTCGTTCTATGATGACTCGTGCTACACTTCCAATTAGTTTATGGGGTTATGATCTAGAAACGACCAATTATA